TCTGTGATGGACTGAGACATGTCCAGGTGTCTCTGTGATGGACTGAGACATGTCCAGGTGTCTCTGTGATGGACTGAGACATGTCCAGGTGTCAGGAAGACAAACATGGGTTTTCTTTAAAGTGCATCTTTTATTCAGATTAGTTTATTTTGCTTCAAAGAAGCTGAACTCTGAAGTCCCACTGGGACAAAAACCGAACACCAAAGACTCCTCGTCCGATGAAGAACAACAAACATTTTAAATACAAATAAATATTAAATTATTATACTTTGAATAATATTCAACAATGCTATACAATAGCTGTAGGTCCTGACGACACACCATCAGGTGGGAAACACCTGAGTCCGTTAGCTGCCCTGACAGTAAAGAAGCAACAGAACACACGTCAATAAATAATCAATAAATACGGTTCTTCACAAACACAGCCACGGGTCCGGGGGGAGCAGGTCCCGCAGCAGGTCCAGGTCTAAGTGGGGATGCTGAAGGCCGTGACGCAGGTGCAGCCCACCGCCACCTGCCGGTACTCCACCTTCAGGCGGTACTTGCCCTTGTGGCAGCCGCTCCTGTCCCGCTTCAGGAAGCCCCGGGACTGCAGGACGGGCCTGGAGTTGTAGTCATGGTTCTCCACCACGGAACCGTTCTTCAGCATCATGATGCAGCCCTCACACAGGCACTGGGCCTCCATGTAGGTGGAGGGGAAGTAGTCCTGGTCGGTGACCCGTCTGGACCAGAGGGAGAAGACTCAGTGAGACACAAACAGAGACCCAACAAGAACCCCCTGATGAGACAAGTGTCGGTCCTTCTGGACCACCTGAGCAGGTTCTAACCCGTTCCCCTGCACATCTGTAACGGTTACATTAACTTCATGTGGTCCCGTCAGCTGGGTCGACTGAACCGGGCCACTTATAGAAAACAAGTGAAAGTGATTTAATAAAGAATTCATGGAGGAACGGTCAACAGATTTCAGATTCTTTCAAAACACGAGAAACAAAACGACCGTTTGAGTCCAGAAGAACAAAGTAAGGCAAGCACTTTGGGACAATCTTCATTCAAACTGGGAGGTTAATTTGGCTCCAATTGGTTTGACTGTTTTAAATTTAGTTTAAAGTTTAAACTTTAAATAACTCTGTTTCAAACATATTTTCATGTTTGTCCAGATGCATGTTTTACAACTAAATAAATCCTTTACAGCAGTGGTGTCCAAAGTGTGGCCCCTGGGCCAGTTGTGGCCCTTTGAGTGATTTTGTGGGTCCCACATTTGCAGTTTAAGAATGGTGTAATTTTGGCCCGTAGGCTTCAGAGACTGATGCAGATGTGGACCTTTTGCAAATTTAATGGTGATAATTTTTTATATAATTTTTCAGGTTTAACAGCGAAACAGATAAAAAAAATTAAAAAATCTCAAAATAAGCAGTATTAAATTTAATACTATCCTTTGGCAATAAATCAATAAAGACAAATAAAACGATAAATTAATAAAAGGTTAATGTTTATGAAGCTTTAAATGTTTTGGATTACGACAATTTACCTGAATTGCTCAATTTTGTCCTTTCTCCAAAATATTGTTTACGTTTGTAAACATGTGTTGTGTTTCGGTTGAGTTTTTTTAAAATCACTAAAAATATGTACGATTTTTATTGTTATTATCATTTATATATGTTTTTTATTCACATTTTTGTGTCTGACTCCTTTCATGGTCCACATATGAAATTTTTTGGACACAGGAAGATTTGGAGTTTCTTCAAGCATCCAGGACACAAGAAGTTCTGAAGGTTGAAGTTCTGGTGCTGCTCGGTCCTCCAGAAATCGAACAAGAGGTTTTATCGTTCAACTTCAAAATGTTTTATCTCCTCAGTTTTTAATGGAATACAACAAACATTTAGGATGGTTCCATTACCGGACAGGAAGACCTTTATTTCACACAGTTTGCTTTCATCCCCTTTGTTTGTTTGTTTGTTTGTTTGTTTGTTGTTTTGAAGCATTGAGCTCTGAATTAAAGCAGATCTTCCTCTGTCTTATCCCTGATCAGATTTTATTCAGAGTTATAAAGTTTAACTGAATTTAAAACTTAAAAACTCAGACCTGGACTTTTGACCCTGATTCAGGTTCGGGTCCGTCTCCAGCCTTCTGGGGGACTTACATGTATCTCCAGGGGGACAGTGACCTGTCCTTGATGTCCTCGGCCAGTCTCTGGTACAGGTCCAGGGGACAGGATGCGGGGAGGCTGTGCGGGGCGGGGCTCGGCTCCAGAGGCTGCGGGATCCGAACCCGCAGCTTCTTCTGCGCCGTTTCCTCCAGTTCCGTTCCATTACAGCACCGGTGCATGCATGTCCACGTCCACGCGGGCACGAGGCAGAGCGCGAGGAGGAAGATCTGTGGAGGAGAGGCGATGATGATGAGGAGGAGGAGGAGGAGGGTGGGGGATGATGATGAAGGTCCGGGACTCACCTGCTTCAGGTCCATGAGGTGTTGTCTGTCAGCTCCAGGTGATCCAGCAGGTTCGGTTCTCGGAGTCCCCTGAGCAGGACCGGGTTCAACATTAGTCTGTCGGCAGCTCGCGCGTTCCTTTTATCTGCTCAGCTGGGGGAAGTACCGGCGGGACGCACGAGGAAACGCAGGCCGACTTCCTCTTTCCAGGATGACAGAGGGAGGAGACGCGCGCGCGCGCACGCACGCACACACACACACACACACACACACACACACACACACACACACACACACACACACACACACACACACACACACACACACACACACACACACACACACACACACG